TGAAAATATAAAAAACCCAACAAGATTGTATTTGAGCAAACTCAAGGTGGACCGTGATAGTTTTTACCTGTGTGTGAAACAGTTACACAACATCTCCCCAGCCCTGCAACATCGCGGGAAGGGAGCAGACGATATACCCCATATCACCACAAACAAAACACACGTGAAATACGCCGTAAAAAACACACAGCAGATTTGTGGCAAATGTTGCTCCAATTTGTAAAAGTGACAAACTGTTATTTGTTTGACGTCTTCGCCACTCTCTACAATGTAACCGATCGGCACTGTTTCAATCATTTGACACGTGCAGTGACGTCACAGAAGTGGGTCGTCTGCTTGTAATATGGCGCCACACCCGCGAGGCTTGACATGGGGGTGAGGGTCACGTGAGGAGTAGTCGTGGACGTGGTTTCGGGTGTGTTGTCGGGAGCGTGACAAATGCCTCTCCCTGTACTGACCAGTGCGCATGACCAGTACTTTGGTCAGGCATTTGTATTCCACGTGGACCTCTAACTGTGACTTTCCTAAAACTGATATTTGTGTCATGCGTATTGGTACCTGATTTAAATTTTGAATTTTGAAGAATAAATTACAAAAGGCTTGAGTTTACTTAAAGCAAATATAAGCAGCTATATAAGTATGTTTCGTTGTACTATCGTTGGATGGTTGATTGGTTGGTTGGTTGTTTTACGCCGCACTCAGCAATATTCCAGCTATATGACGGCGGTCTGTAAATAATCGAGTCTGGACCAGACAATCCAGTTATTGATATCATGAGCATCGATCCACGCAATTGGGGTCGATGACATGCTTCAACCGAGTCAGCGAGCCTGACCACCCGATCCCGTTAGTCTCCTCTTACGACAAGCATAGTCGCCTTTTACGGCAAGCATGGCTTGCTGAAGACCTATTCTACCCCGGATCTGACATTGAGATTATGTCTCACATCCTTGGCTCGTTTACGAAAACTGTGGAATTCCTTGTTTTCATCATGAGTCTTCACATGCTTCACAAGAGAATCTTCAGACTAATAAATGTGTGCAAAGGTGCACAATACAGTTCTATCCCGAAGAGCCTCGACGTTAATCAAACCACGCCCTCCCATTATGATTGGTAAACATAAGCGATTACATGAAGAGCGAGGGTGGTGGGATCTATTGTCTGACATGATTCTTCGTGTGAGGGTTTCAATACCCTGAATCATAATAATCATCATAGTCGTCGTCGTCATCATCATCATCATCATCATCATCATCATCTATTGTCTGACATGATTCTTCGTGTGAGGGTTTCAATACCCTGAATCATCATAATCGTCGTCTTCATCAACATCATCACCATCACCATCATCATCATCATCATCATCATTATCGGAATAACCTTAGCATGAACGAGTTATTCAACGAGGACACAGATAAACGGTGGTCTACTAAATACATGGCACAACTCGCCTACAGAATTGCGTCTGGGCGTAGAAAATCGAAATCGCTCCCGCCAGAATCCTTCGTGTGTTAGCACCATGCTCGTGGGCTTTGTTTTGTATAGTACTAAAACAAAACGGCCTCATCAACGTCTTTCATAAACACTAAACGTTCGTAGGAAAGGATGTCCTTGAAGCTCAGCAGCATCTGCTCTCAATGCCCGTAAAGTGTCATGGGTTTCTGGATTAACCGACTTAAGTTTATGTACAAATGTAGTCAGATTAGCTTTGTTTTGACAGATGCGGAGTTTTCGTTCGGTATGAAGGGTGCCATTGTCTACTTAGCAGCTGGAGTTACATGAATATATCGTTTGTTTTGTTTTGTTTGTTTGTTGTTTAACGCCGCACTCAGCAACATTCCAGCTATTTGACGGCGGTCTATAAATAATCGAGTCTGGACCAGATAATCCAGTGATTGACATGAGCATCGATCCACGCAATTGGGATGCGATGACATGCATCAACCGAGTTAGCGAGCCTGACCACTCGATCCCGTTAGTCGCCTATTACGACAAGCATAGTCGCCTTTTACGGCAAGCATGGGTTGCTGAAGACCTATTCAACCCCGGATCTTCACGGGTCCCACGTGGATGTCATACATATTATGCTTTATATTATATATTATATTATATTACTAGAGATTTGTTTGAAAATATAGTTGATGACTTCATAGCATCTTCTTTCTATGGATAATCATTTTTACCAGGAACTAAATGTGTATTCACCCTTTAAAAAGAAAACGTGCACAATCAGTTGATAATATCTTACAAATGAACAGGGAATACAAGAATACATTCAACCTCTAATTGGTTTCTTTCTTTAACAACCAATAACACCCATTTTCTTACACAAAGTTATTATTATGTCGACATATTCTACATTAATTATCAGCTCTTGTCGATGACGCAAATTGTGTTTATCAATTCATTGAAGCGGAAACGGGATCGCCTTAACAGCCATGTGATTTTTCTTATTGTTGTTGGCAGATTCAATTTACTTCAATATGTGCTTATAATTATGGTATTCTGTAAATGAAACAAGGACGAAACAGCTTATCGAATTCCCGCTTTCCTTTTTATCTTTTCACAGAGTTGGATCTCCTGTTAATTAAGTATGTAGTTTACTAGTCCTATAACCATTACAAATACTATCATTACTTCAACTACTAACACCAACACTAACACTAAGACAACCACATTTATCACTAACACGCAGACAATCACTACCGCCACCATTACATCTTTACACGCCACGCCACGCCGCCACGCCACACCACAACACACTACACTACGGTACGGTACACTACGCTACCCAACACCACACCACACTACGGTACGGTACGGTACGCCACACTACACTACGCTACCCAACACCACAAAACAAGACAAGACACCACAACACACAACACGCCACGCCACGCCCGGCCACGCCACGCCACGCCACGCCACAACACAAACAAAACAAAACAAAACAAAACAAAACAAAACAAAACAAAACAAAACAAAACAAAACAAAACAAAAGTACAAATACTATTATTACTTCAACTACTAACACCAACACTAACACTTAGACAACCACTTTTAACACTAACACTAAGACAATCACTACCGCCACCGTCACACGCCACGCCACGTCACGCCACGACACGACACGACACGACACGACACGCCCTACACTACAAAGCGTACACTGCACTTCTGCTACTGCTACTACTTTAATTAACTTCTACTGCTGCTGTTAGTACTACTAAAACCAGGCTACTGATATACACTCTCCACAAAAAGAAACGCACAGGTAGAATGTAGCTGAACATGGCTACACAGAAATCCGGTATATAAATTGGATATATGATATATGTTGGTTGCCTGATATTCGACACGCGGTGCGCCAAAACGCAGCCATTGTCGACTTGCAATGTCTTAAACGGCATTGTTTTCACACTTGTTCAAAAATATCATGGAGGAAAACAGTAAAGCAAAATGCACATGCAAGTTATGGCATTCGTAACTCGTAGTATTGGCTATAAAAAGGCAAGTATAAGCCAATAATTTGTCATTCGATTGTCAACATTTTTCAAGTTCGAAAATGCCGGGGGCATGTCCTACATCAGGAGATCTGACTTGGTTGTTGTTCAGGGAAATTTGACAGCAAATCGCTACATGAATCAATTCTTCAACCTCACCTTCTTCCAATTATGACGCCAGAGGGAACTGTTTCAACAGGACAAGGCTCCACTGTCACGGTAGACTACCTTCATAATGCCAACGTCCAGATCTCAACCCAATCGAACACCTCTGGGATGAACTCGATCGACATGTAAGTCAACGTCAGAACACGCCACAGACACTCCCACAACTGGACAACGCGTTACAAGCAGAATGGCGCAGAATTCCGCAGGACAGAATTCGTACACTTATCCAGTCAGTACCGAGGAGATGCAGAGCCGTGATTGCTGCCCGGGGCGGTCACACATGTGACTATCGAGCTCCTATATTTCATATTTGTATCTATGATATTAGATCTATCGACTACATTAGGTACAATACATTTACTGTGCGTTTCTTTTTTTGAAGAGTGTATTTACTACTACTACTACTACTACTACTACTACTACTACTACTACTACTACTACTACTACTACTACTGCTACTGCTGCTACTACTATTTCACCACTCTTATAAATGATGTTTCTGCTGCTAATATTAATGATGCTGCATCAATGTGTTATCTGTATTGAGTGAACATTGATTCGCACCCTGTGTAAACAAACTAGAAATGAAATACGCATCACTCTCTCTGCCTATGGGAATGTACATGTACTTAAAACTGGCCTCTCCTCTAACCTAGCCTCTCATCATACAGCTTGATTACATTGCAGTACCGGTAAACACTTGTTGAGGGAGATGACAAGAAGTAGCTTGCACAAGTTTCATCGTGTACCCATAATCACAGGGCGGAGCTGAAACAATGTCTTTGGGCGGAAAGTACATCAGGCAAAGTCATTGTACCGAGGTAAGAGCAATAAAAGTATAAAACAAATTCAAACATGTATAATTTATTTCAATTAGATTGAAAATGTCACCGAATCTGTAACAAAGCAATGTGTTTGGAGGAACAATGCATGTCGTATGTGGGGAATGGGACAGAGAGGGGGTTGGGTGAGGTATTGGTTTGGTTGGGGTGGCGTATTGGGTCGGGTGGGGTGAGGTAGCTATAGGGATAGAGGTAGGAGTGGCTTATTGGGTCGTGTTGGAGGAGGTAGGGATAGAGGTAGGAGTGGCGTATAGGGTCGGGTGGGGTGAGGTAGGGATAGAGGAAGGAGTGGCGTATTGGGTCGGGTTGGAGGAGGTAGGGATAGAAGAAGGAGTGGCGTATTGGGTCGGGAGGGGTGAGGTAGGAATAGAGGGAGGAAAGGCTTATTGAGTCGGGTTGGAGGAGGTAGGGATAGAGGTAGGAGTGGCGTATTGGGTCGGGATGGGTGAGGTAGGGATAGAGGAAGGAGTGGCGTATTGGGTCGGGTTAGAGGAGGTAGGGATAGAAGAAGGAGTGGCGTATTGGGTCGGAAGGGGTGAGGTAGGAATAGAGGGAGGAAAGGCTTATTGAGTCGGGTTGGAGAAGGTAGGGATAGAGGTAGGAGTGGCGTATTGGGTCGGGTGGGGTGAGGTAGGAATAGAGGAAGGAGTGGCGTATTGGGTCGGGTTGGAGGAGGTAGGGATAGAGGTATGAGTGGCGTATTGGGTCGGGAGGGGTGAGGTAGGGACAGAGGAAGGAGTCGCGTATTGGGTCGGGTGGGGTGAGGTAGGAATAGAGGAAGGAGTGGCGTATTGGGTCGGGTGGGGTGAGGTAGGGATAGAGGAAGGTGTGGCGTATTGGGTCGGGCGGGGTGAGGTAGGGATAGAGGGGGGAGTGGCGTATTGGGTCGGGAGGGGTGAGGTAAGGATAGAGGAAGGAGTGGCATATTGGGTCGGGTTGGGTGAGGTAGGGATAGAGGGGGGAGCGGCGTATTGGGTCGGGTGGGGTGAGGTAGGGATAGAGGAAGGAGGGGCGTATTGGGTCGGGTGGGGTGAGGTAGGGATAGAGGAAGGAGTGGCGTATTGGGTCGGGTTGGGTGAGGTAGGGATAGAGGGGGGAGTGGCTTATTGGGTCGGGTGGGGTGAGGTAGAGATAGAGGAAGGAGGGGCGTATTGGGTCGGGTGGGGTGAGGTAGGGATAGAGGAAGGTGTGGCGTATTGGGTCGGGTGGGGTGAGGTAGGGATAGAGGAAGGGGTGGCTTATTGGGTCGGGTGGGGTGAGGTAGGAATAGAGGGAGGAAAGGCTTATTGAGTCGGGTTGGAGGAGGTAGGGATAGAGGTAGGAGTGGCGTATTGGGTCGGGTGGGGTGAGGTAGGAATAGAGGAAGGAGTGGCGTATTGGGTCGGGATGGGTGAGGTAGGGATAGAGGAAGGAGTGGCTTATTGGGTCGGGTGGGGTGAGGTAGGAATAGAGGGAGGAAAGGCTTATTGAGTCGGGTTGGAGGAGGTAGGGATAGAGGTAGGAGTGGCGTATTGGGTCGGGTGGGGTGAGGTAGGAATAGAGGAAGGAGTGGCGTATTGGGTCGGGATGGGTGAGGTAGGGATAGAGGAAGGAGTGGCGTATTGGGTCGGGATGGGTGAGGTAGGGATAGAGGAAGGGGTGGCTTATTGGGTCGGTAGGGGTGAGGTAGGGATCGAGGTATGAGTGGCGTATTGAGTCGGGACGGGTGAGATAGGAATAGAGGAAGGTGTGGCCTATTGGGTTGGGTGGGGTGGTGAAGTTGGTCGCGTGGGGTGAGGTAGGGATAGAGGAAGGTGTGGCGTATTGGGTCGGGTGGGGTGAGGTAGGGATAGAGGAAGGGGTTTGGTATTGGGTCGGGTGAGGTGGGTTATTGGGTCGGTCGGGGTGAGAAAGGGATTGCGTAATGAGTTGGGTGTGATGTCGGGTGAGGTGAGATATGGTGTCGGGTGAGATGGGTACTAAACACGGGTATTAAACACGTTCCAGCTCTAAACGTGTTTGGGATAGTGTTTGAATTCTTAACACAACATTTTTTTTGTTTTATAGTTCAGAACCTCAACACACGAAATCATCTAAGATCTCATTACATACCTATAACATTCCAGAAGCCCTAACCTGTTAATAATCCAACTTGGTGATCTTCGTGTGTTAGCTAACCTTAACTCAAACATCAGCTACTCCTGCCTCGATTTCTGTCGCAAAAAGAATAATTGTACAGATGAAATACATTTAAACTTTTGAGAACATACCTTTTCAAGCCCACCGATGTTGTTAAATAATTACAGTAAAATAGTAACAAATAGGTCCGAAGTCACCGAAGTCACATTTGTAGTGTTGCATCGGAAAAACAACACTTTTTCATTGTGTATATTCCCTGAAGTCGTATTTTAATGGTCTGCAAATAATGGAATTCAGGAAGTGTCATTTCCTGCTGATTTGTATGTGCTGTATAGAAGTAGCCTTAAAGAGGTTCTCATACACTCCCCTTCTAAATGCTGGACAGCAGGTCCGCTCCTTCAGCGAGTGCCCTGGTAGTACGTCCGCTGTGGCGTATATTCACCTGCTCTACCAAGGGTCAAGTGGGTGCCAGAATCTTGTGCTGTCCTTTTTAAAGTCAGACCAGGGCAAAGGTGGCGGGTCCGAGAGCTGTCAAAGTACACCCTACCGCTCCTGGGTCGGTGGCTAGGCCAGTGGTTGGTGAGGCTACCCGGGTTTGAGTCCCACATTAGCGGTGCCACTTTTCAACCAAGACTAATGCACATGCAATGGACATGTATTGTGTTTCGGACACGACCCAATTGGCAAAACACGCATAACTAAGACGAATAAGCACATGGTGAACACTTTATGCGACGTGAATACATAAAAACTATTGACTATTTTTTGTATAAAAAAAATATACACAACATAGTACAGCCCTAGGGAAGGAGAGAGTGAGTGAGTGGGTAAGGTTTAACACCTTCTTGAAAGGTGTTTCAGTTATATCACGGAGTGTCAGCTATTTTATGCATGTTGTAGACAGTTATGACTCTTTATTATTATATATCTATATTATTACAATTATTATTCTTATACAGTAAACTAAGTTTATAATAAACACGCTTATAACGAAGTGAGGGATATAACCAACTTGTTTTCTTTGTCCCGACCATTTGCTCTACATGTTGTATATACGCTTATAACAAACTACGATTATAACGAACTAAAAATAGTAGTCTCTTTGAGTTCGTTATAACCGTTGTTAACTGTACTTACAATGGCATCGATGTACATTTATAGCGTTGCATCGGTAAAGTCGTACATGTATACACTTCGTCTTCCAACCCAAATAACAAACCATCATAAAACCATAACATTCACTTTTTGTGTTTTGTTTGCCTTAATATTAGAATCTGCGTAGGCGACACGGATCCTGCGACTAACGGTACCACGTCCCTCGCAGTTCCAATGTTTTGGTGCGTCGTGACCCCAAAGTCTCGTTCCCACACTGTCACATGGTTTGTTTTTAGGTTACAAGTGGGCGAAACACGACTAAGTCCAAAAATCTCACTTGTGGGTGACTTCACATCATGTCACACGCCCTGTTCGCACATCGTCGGGAAGAGGGCATCTTGACCCTCGGTCAGATCAACAAATGACCAGTGGCCGGCACCACAACCCTCCGCCTGCCAACGCCAACCCCGCGCCCTCTGACGGTGAAAAGATACAATGCAGTACTAGCTACGTCTTAAACTCACGTACAGTCTGGTAATGTTTCTGCATGACGCTGAAGTATTTGCTCTCCATCTGCTATATAGATAGTCTTACCGAAGGTGAACCGGTCCGACAAAAACGCGGTTTTAGAAATAGTTCGAAAGAATTCTGTGAAATTCTTTATTTGATACATATTGGAATGCTTTAAACGGTTTTTGTCAGTCTGCATTTCCTTTCCAGCAACCCTTAGAACCCCGCACGGCTAAACTAATATTTAGATTGATGACGTTTCGTTTACCTTCCTACACAGTTAAGATGGCGGAGCACGAGACTCGCAGCTTCCGGTTCGCGTGCACAGCGGTTCTACCTTTCTCCTACGTGAAAATATTGACCAGCCTTGCTGTAGTCACGTGCTGACTCCAAGAGTCTGCTTGACCACTGGTCATCTAGTGTACGAACCCTTTTCCCTTAACGTGAACAGACAATATCGCTTTACATGTATATCAAACAAACCATTTTGCAAAAGCAATAGTTGTACACAAAAGAATACAATAATAGTTTTTTTCTGATGTATGCTTATCCTTACAATATCCATGAGTGTGTATTTGTTCAAAGACAATTTAATTGCTTGACAATATATTTGAAAAAAATATACGGCTACAAAGTCATTCTAAGGAGACATACGTTTTGCAAAATAATCTGTTTTATTGAAAACAATATAAAATATATTTTAGCTTCAGACTTTATTGGAATGGTCATGATAATAAGTATACAAAAAATGTGTATACATTTAAGAACCCGAGCATATGGTTCATCAAAGTAATTCTGACCTAAACTAATATCTGTTTAATAGATTTATTTCCTTGTAAAAAAAGTAATCTTATCTGCCCACGGTTTTTAGTTACACTTTAATGTAATGTTAAGCCCGCGCTCTCTCGCCCCACGTGTCGACCAGTGCAGTGGGTTTATCCCTATCTACACCGGTGGCGACAGGATAATCTCTCTCGGAAGAGAATGTCGCCAGCTCATGTTATCTCCATCCCTATTGTCCCACCATTATAGAGCCCCATGTACGCAGCCCTCCGACACACAAGTCACCGGTATTCTTCGGGGGCTGAGAATAGTACGCTAGCTTTGTCTGTCGCTCAGCTACAACTGTCGCCATGTTGTTTTGTTTGACCAATCGGAGGAAGTATGTGCCGGCAGCCGTAGTTTCGGACTTACTACTGACCAGAGACGAGGTGGCCTAGCAGGTCCGTCTCTAAAAAACCGGAAACATTACACATATTCTAATTACTGCGGGGTTCTAGTGAATGAACGACTGTCACCTAGTGCGGGTTATTTTCGATTTACGATGCTGGCACTCTAGTTTGGTGTAGTTTTTATACTGAAGAATGCATACTTGTGTGACGGTGACAAGTTGCATTCTATCAGGTCTATAAACACTAACAGAGCAGTGATGTTAACTCTCTGTAGAGTGGCAAGTGCATGTTAGAGTGAAACGTTAGCCATGATAAAAAACATATACGATTCCATCATATGTTATAATACACGTAGGGAAGGCCACCAATATATTATAAAAGTACAGTAATTGATACAAGCAGGTTGATATTGCAGGTTCCGCACATATTGGATGATACAGACTGAATATGATACGGTTCAGCTATCGTCAGTACAACTGATTGTCTGCAAAGGTGGGTGCTTCGAAAAACATTAGTCCAAACGATAATCTGAAATGTTAGATTTGTTAATATATTTTAATTAAAACCATTTATCAAACCATATCTCGTCGGAGCACCGAAACCATCTCGACTGCACCAAATAATCATCAATGAATATAATGAAAAAAATATATTAATGTACACATGTGAGGCTGAGTTGAGGTTTACTCCGCTTTAAACATTTTTTAGTTCTGCCACGGCCTGTCTGCCTAATGAGGGAGGACCGCCGAAATGGATGCATGCCTTAGACGTTAACCACGTGCATTGGTATGGTGCTGATAAACCAAGGGTTATAATCAGGGCGAGACTGGGTTGGAAACCCAGCGATTGGGAGAGCTTGGCCCAGGGATTCGTGTTGATGCTCGTCAAAACGAGAACTTGATTCGAATCCCAACGTGGAAATAATTTGTGAAATGTAGTCTTGTTGCCTCCTTCAGTAATAGTCTCTGAAGGTGATGGATGATCGCACTGTTACAATTACTCTCTCGTATCAAGTTGTTTAGATAATGTCATACAGTACTAATAAGGTACTACCATATATCGTACATACTAAGAAAACCATGTATCTTCGCGGCCACAGCGTCTGTTCTTGCATATCGGTGAGTATGGACAGTCATGTTGTCTGAAGCTTTACGATTCACGGTGCAGGGTTACGCCCCTTAGCCAAGTCAGGATCCTCTGAATCCAAGATTCGGCCCGATTATGATCCCTGGTCTGCAAACACAATACCCATATTCGAGGAGCGTTATACATTTACGATCTGCGTCACTTTGAACTTTTCTCCCACATTAAGTTGACACACAGTGTTATAAAACAACCGGCGTTTAACCCAACGCAACATAACACATCAGGTGTTTAGAAATGTATTTGATGTTATGAAACGCAACATCGAAAAAAAGTACCACATTAAATCAATTGTTTTTGATAGCTCGTTCTTTCTAAAGTGAAAATTGTTTTGGACCCCTTGGGACTTTGTGAACGTTCATATCGAATTCAATAAACGTGTGTACGAACTTTACACATATTAATGCTTAAACTATCGACAACACCTTTTTGTGGTGACGGTTTGGTGATAAATACAGTTTATAAGGTACATCCAGCAGTTCAGAACTAGGCAGCAGGCAAAGGGCCGTGATCATGACTTCAGTTCTGACAGTTTAGCCCGGAGACGTACATGATGAAGCCAATGCAGCGTCTGGCAAACACCAGCCTTCTCCATGGCACGGTGTTGTTTGTGGGGGACAAACAACACGCACGTGAATGTTGCAAAACAAAACAACAAATCACCCGCAAATTGAAAACTAATGTTGAAAGGACAAATAGCCTCTGTGTTTGCCTAGATGGACAGGGCACGATACCATGATTTCTGGTTCTGTTTCAACCCGAAGCACGCGTGCAATTGCCCATGTTTACTCGCCAACTGCGTTGATTCTATGCAGTCAACTTGACGGGAGAGTGTGTCAAGGGGCATAACCCAGAAGTGGCGTTTGTAAACAGAACCACAGTGACGTTTTGCGTTGGCCAATCACGATGCAGCTCAGATGCTGTGACAGTTGGAAGTCACGCCGGATTTAGAATTGTTCTTAATGACACCGAAGGTACATCAGTGTGCTAAACTATATTTGCGGATATTGAACTTAGTTTGTGACAAAAGGTCGAAGATCAAGGATACTTGTGTATCATATAATAAATGTCAACAGCGTTGTCTTATTACATTTACGACAAAAATAAATGTAAAACATGCCCTAGAAAGAAACAAACAGACATAATATGCACCGATCCACACTTATAATTCAAACAACGTCATGTCCACTTCAACGTGCAAGTATAAGGCTGGCATATTTATGTCTGCTTTCACACAGGATGAACAGGCAGTGTGTTTCGGTTTGTTTAAATGGAAGTACTTTCTTGTGTAGGTGCGATAAATATATCACAATCGATATACTAGTGTTGAATATAAATACAATAATCTATACTTTGGTGTGTTGCTTCTGTGTCCTCGATGCTACTGACCTGTTTCGAGGTCATACTTGGACACGTGTCCTAGGAAACGTCATCCTTTCTTCATAAGATGGATTATATATGACTATATTATGCTGTTAATTTCTTTGTTTGTTTGTTGTTTAGCGCGTATATTCAGGAATATGGCGGTGGTCTGTAAATAATCGAGTCTTGAACAGACAATCAGGTAATTGACATCATGAGCATCGATGTACACATTTAGGATACGATGACATGCATCAACCAAGTCAGCGAGCCTGACCACAGATCCCGTTACTCGCCTCTTACGATAAGCAATGGTTGCCGAAGACCAATTCGAACCCGGATCTTCATAGGAGCAATGTTATCGATGATGATACAGTTTAGTCGTACGGTTATTGGTGCAACAATATGACATCTCATATGACTTAAAGTACATGTATATAGTTTATTCATATACATTTGGCTTGTATTAGTCAGTAATATCAATAATGAATTCACTCTGATATGATATAATTTATTTGATTAACGTATAGACTTCAAAGACATGAAACATTTTTTTATGGATAACAACTTCTTTATTGTTTGTAAACTTTCCAAAAAAAGGTTTCAAGTCTACATGTTCTTCTAAATGCTTGTATTGACTGTCATTGCAGATGTAATATTCATCTTCAACATTATAATAATTACCGACAATATCATTTTAATCCGTTGTAAACACGTCTGTCGATGCTATAATCTTTTAAGTATTCTTAAATGAAAATGTACATTAATTTGTATATCATTCGGCATAGTCTTTGAGGTGTTGTTTTGTGATAGATGATTATAGATATATAACATTCGTCTACTTTTTAAAATTTCATTTTAAAATTTCATTTTGAAATCATCAACTCCTGCAACAAGGAGAGCCATCCACCAACCGGACTATGTACACCTGTATGCACGGTGCGCCAGTATGAGGCTAATTGATTGATGCCAATCACGTGTCACGTGAACACCTCATTATCCCTGCATGAAGGCTTTCCGAAAGTTTGACACCTGGAAATTTAGCAATGGCAAGTTTAAACTGACATCAGTTGAATAGTCACCGCAGCTTATTTTCTCATGGACATGCACACCTGGTTTTCTCACTGTAACTGTGTTCGTGAGTCTACGTTCTTGAATTTCTCGCTTTCCTTCCATTTTCTATTTTTATGAGAAATAAGTAAACCAATAAAGTTTTGACGTTCGAATATCAGCATACATAATTATATGGTTGTTAGAGAGATATGAATGTGGTCAATTAGCTAAAACTGAAAGTAACTCTACTCCAAAATATTCAGATATCCAAATATGTGGTACATAAACTGTGGAATACAATTAAATTACAATTATACAATTAAATTTAAGAATGCATCACCCAGCGTGTCTACCACTTCTATAGAAGAATTTCAAACTTTGAAAATAGGGAACAAAATGAAAATACTATGCATTTTGATTAAAATTGTGGCCATAGGTTTTGTCAAAGGACCAATTGTCTTAGGTTGGCAAATTGAAACGATTTATCTCTGATACGATATGATTGTTCCTGTGCATACCAAACCAAAAATGCACTTCAATACTTCTTTACGTGTGAGAAATATAATAGTACCGTATTCGACGTAATAAGCGCCCAGGGCGCTCTCAAAATTAGAAATAGGGGGCTCTTATTAGAATATTATTTTGGTGAAAAAAACAGAGTTAAAGGATAAATTTCGTGGTTTATGCTGACAGCCTGAAATGTTTATATACGACAGATATATTTTCCAGAATTTAATTGCCCATAATTAAGGGTGCATGTAAGACACGAGTGCGTATTATACGCGAATAAATAAGTGTTGTGTACATTGATCAATCGGAAGGGGTGCTAATTGGGATTGTTCACTAGCCAATATGTAAGCAAATATCGCCGTGGGCGCTTATTAGAGCGGGGCGCTTATTACGTCGAATACGGTATATTAGAAATAACACGTACTATTTTAATATATTTTAGAAACTATTTTAAACGGTAATGCTTTCTAAGTAAACAGTTCAAATGAAATTCTAAAATCAGTTAATGACGTCTTCATAAAAACAGGAAATTCAAAATAGCTTTATGACATTTCACCAAGAAGCGGCCTACAAACTCTAGAACTTAAGTCTATCATTGTATGAATATTGTGTCTCTGATAACCTTAATTACAGATACCCGGTATACCAAACTAGAACCTTTTTGTAATGATGTCCGCTGTTATTTCTACATTTCCAATTTCCATTATGTAACCATGTTTGTCTTTGGTTTTGTTGCTGAAGCGGTGTTAATATAAGAATGTTCTTCTTGTTTACCAATCCAGGTAAATAGGTTTAAACCATATTTGAGGTGCGAGATTTCCTGATCTTTGTCCAAATGAGTACCCCCGGGGATACTAGGGCGGTCGGGTAGCCTAGTGGTTAGCACGTTCGCTCG